CACACACACACACACACACACTTACACACACGCACACACCGTCTTGTGACCGCGCTGGTGGTACCGAAACCTGGACGAGACGTCAGCGCGGGCGGGGAAAAAATATCCACCGGCGCGCTGCTGGTCGCTGCCCCGGGGAGCAGGAGCGAGAAGCATCCATGCCGCCAGGTTCCCTCTCACACATCGGCCTGGACCTGCTCTCGTAATCGGGCCTCCTCCTCCTGCGCTGCTGAGATAATGAAAGGATGGCCGAGCGGCGACGCGGGGACCACGGAGGGCTGACGGATGCCGCCGCGGCGGCGACTCACCGGGATGAGCAGCAGCGTCGCAGCGCGATGAGTTCGACGGAGGAAGCGGCAGTGGAGAGTCTCTCCCTGGAGGAGATACTGAGGCTTTATAGCCAGCCCATCAACGAGGAGCAGGCATGGGCGGTGTGTTACCAGTGCTGCAGGACGCTGGCGAAGGGGCACCGGAGCAGGGGGAGCTCCTCCACCGCCGCCGGAGCATCATCAGCGGTGGCTCCGATGAGGATATTGGGACCGGAGGATGTCAGGATACAGAAAGACGGGTCCGTGAGGGTGGAACACCGGGACTGTGAAGGTAAACTATTATGTGAGAATGAGTGCGCCTAAAGCTGCTCTCGATCTAGGCCAGACCATCACTTGCATTTCAAATAATGGGGTGTTGTGATTGTAATACAAGATAGCCTACAAAATCACGTCACTAGTGTATAATCCCTAAAGTAATATAGTGATAACACAGAGCAATAACGGTACTATAAATATAACATCCAGCACGTGGAGGCTTTAGATGTTTTCCCTGATCAGGTGCTATATCAGTCTTTAATCTAGAGCAGGACAACATCAGCCAGAGTCATGGGGCCCAATTACACCTAGAGCAGGACAACATCAGCCAGAGTCATGGGGCCCAATTACACCTGCTCACTGACAAACAAATGTCTCTCACTGATTTTCACTTTTCCTCCTCACTGAGGGCACGTGTGTGTGTGTGTGTGTGCGTGTACATCACAGGCTACATCTCTCATTGAAGGCCTCTCAGACGGTTTGCCACTTCACATCACATCGGCGGGCTCTCTGATTAAAGCATGTCATTATTGCAAGCTGAAATGTGCATGCATGGGGCCGATGTATATTGTGTGAACAGAAAAGGGTGATGGTCCACCCCTGCGCGGGCCTTGTGTTTTGAATGGCCTGATTACAGCTGCTCCTAACTGCCTGTGACACGGGGGGCCTCTGTTTTATGAGGCATTATAAAAAATAAGCAGTTACGGCCCTGCTGTGCTCCGAAAACATCCAGGAAAGTGAGAGGAGACAGTGGAAGCATATAGCAAGCCAAATGATAAATCACTGCAACATCGTGGAAGATATCCCTTTGGGGGCTTTGCACAGTGTCTGTGGGGCTACATGCAGGGAGTTTATACTGACTTTATTGTGCTTTATGGTAATTTGTGTCTCACATGGGACACAGTTACAGCGTTTATGTGGTATTTGTCTAGCATCCCTCACACTACAGGTGCTTTTTTTTTACAAGGTACCAACCAGGATTCAAAACAGATGACACTGCATGCCGTGTGATGGGCGTGTCTGTGTCTGTCTGAACAGAAAACAGTGTCCTGTCAGACGTAGGCCTGGCATGTTCAGTGTATGCTGTAATCACAGCTGCTGATGCAGTGAACACAGAGTGTAGAGCAGACTGACTAAATCCCTCTCTATCCATCTATCTGTATCTGTCCGTAATGGACTACACCTGAGGGATAGGCTCTTTACTCCAGCTGCAATGTCCACACACACACACACACACACACACACACACATACACACACACACACACACACACACACACACACACTACTGAACACTGCTCGGTCAACATTTTGGCCTTTGATTCGATAACTGCGCCGCATTTCTGTGAGGGCGATGCCGTTTGTGGCCTGTTGGTCTATGCTTAGAATGAATGGGCTATTTTTAGGAGTATGGAAGGGACCATTGGAGAGGGGAGTCCAGGCTTTTATTCCTCAGCTGCTGTAATGTCCCATCATGCAAAACGTATTGACTTGTTGTAGTTATGCATGTTTTGGGGCATTTGTATTTGCAATATACATCTTATTTATTTATATATAAGAAATAAAATAAAGGAGTTTAAATGCAGCTTTATTTGAGTATCGACAATATAAACATTGCCAAGCAGCACAACAGTGCCAATGATAAATAAATAAATAATCTATTTTGATTCTCTTCAAAACCACAATTATATTGAGAGGGGATGAAGGCAAAAGGAGCTGCTGCCAAAACGATACAGATGAACATCTTATCGTTTCCTTCACATCATACTCAAAATGTGCAAATTATTAAACACAGTTTTCATGTAGTAAACAGATTCGGCGAAACACGTTATCTTACAAAGACTGTATTTTAAACATGTATCCATTACTTCTATCTGACTATTGAAAGTGATCATTCATTAGCTAACTATATCAAGTCTTCATTTCTTCCTCCCAATCCTTCCATGAACCCCATGACGAGTTATGAAGTACCTCTGGCTGGGAGTCACTGCTCTGCATGTCTTCAGTCTAAGTCATACTGGGAGTGTTTTGCAAGTGTTTTGATCAGTGCTCTGCAACCGCACAAATGGTCTCGCTTTGCAGGGTGATTTGCTGGTCTAATTCAGTGCAGTCTCTCTCTCTCTCTGATGCACAAGCTCGAGTCAGATAAAGTCATTCATGTAAATAATTTGATAAATCTGTGGCAAAAGTTTTCAGGATTTAGGAGTTCTGAAACTCTCGTCTGCAAAAATTGACTTTGAGTTAAATGCCGACAAGGTTAGTGTTTGACCCACTCCTTACCACGTCCGCCAAGGGCCGGGCCATAATTCAATATGATAATTAATCGTCTTTCAATGGAATCATATCGTGATAAAATCGTATATCGAGATATCGTGGTACACAATCACCTGGTCTAAATTGATCATAACGAGCCTGGACTAACTGAAGGTCTTATTTAAATGACTTTTCATTTGTCAAGTATTTAATTCACACAAGAGTATACAAAACCGTGTGGTTATTTCATATAGACCACTTATTTCGTGAATTACCAGAAAACATGCTGTATCGTGATATATATCGCGATATATATATCGCGATATATATATCGTTATGATATCGCGATAGATTTTGTCTCGGCCTATACGTTCGACCAGTATTCTTTTATTCCGCAGGTCATCTGGGGCGCCTGACACTTTGTATTACATCTTAATACATCATGACAGCAGGACACTTTTTTAGAACCTCTGCAAATAGTTCTCTGTCTCGTCTCGACTTTGACGAATATTTTTAACATCCTACTTTTTTACCAATCGTTACAGCACTATCGAGAAAACACATTGGTTTATCTGCTCCCCCTGTTTGGCAGTGCTCATATCACACCGCTCTTCTTCACCTTACATACAGCAGCGTGGCATTCAAACCTGCTGATGCTGAAGTTAAGGGCCCGAGATGATGTCATAGCTGTTGTGATGTTGCGTTACCGCGTGTCACAAGACAAAACAGCCAATTCGTTTCGTGATTCATCTGTCAGCAGGCTGTTTGTTCACAAAGTACAAGCTGGGCAGATGTAGCCTGGGGGAGCATTTAAGTGGGTCTTCTTTTTGAAGGGAGTACATTCATGCAGCGTGGCTCCTTGGGAGGGGTCTTCTCATCATCGGTCACATGCTACGAACCGCTGAAGTAATTAGAAATGAAACAGAGCTTTTATTAAACCTGGTCTAGTTTGCATAGTGAGAGCACAGAGCACTTTAGCAGAAATGGTTTAATGAGGGAGGGAATCTTTAATCACTGATAAGTAAAATTCCTTTAAACCAAGACCATGAGCAGTGATGGTCTGTATTATTCTTTTAGTTATTTAAATGTCCTGAACCAAAACCAACTATGACTTGGTCCTAATAACGATTCTATTGTTGTCAGAAAACTATTAACAGAATGCATCAGTGAGCCACACCACTGGGTGCCGTGTTCCTTCACCGCCATTTACCGTAGCTTGCGCAGCATGCTGGATTCTCGTGATTACACGAGATCACTCGAGAAGAGGTTAGCGTAGCTGCTGCAGTAGCATGTTATATCTGAACTGAAGAGTATTTCTTCATTGAAAGAAGAGCAGAGAATGCCACCGAAAGCTTTTCTTGATGGAAAAGATGTTTTCGCTATTTTCCCGACTGAGAGTTTGATTGACAGATGGTTCGTTCAATCACCTGCCAAGCTATGTTTTTTTTAAAGTGCTTGCCCTTTACCAAACAGTTTCGAATGACGGCCCTCTCAGATAAACAAACAATTTGGCGCGTCAGGTTAACGTTCACCTTCCTGATTTACGGATACACTCCGCGGCACACCAAATGTGTATTATTCCTCAGCTGAAAATAGTAACATTTGCTAAAAACTACAGTGTCCCACTGTTTTAGGAAATAACAAGTCCTTTTTAGAAATACAACAATGTGTTTGTGAACAGCCCTTAAAGATTGACCTTTTCAGTGACACCGTGTGTCACAGTGTAGGAATGAACAGACTTGGGGTTGAGTGTTACAGACAGTGTACTATAGTTGGGCAGCATTGAAGCAGATTGTGGGTTTTGGTCTTTTCATGGGATTTGTGGGCAAAAAGAAAACAGAGAATACGACTATGCCTCATCCTGTAAAGCTGCACTATGACCTTGAGAGTTTAATGTTAGCGTTTGTAGACATACTTTGTTCCTGATTAGTTTAAGTGTAAAAATAATGTGAAATGCTGTGGCTTGAGATTTTCCATCAGTGACAAAAGAAAACCCTATTGATGCTGAAATAAAGAGTTTCTCAGCTGCAGTCCCTATTTGTGCTTTAACAGATGTGTAGAGTGATGAATATATGAAAATGATGGCCGAGTGATTGCAGTGGATCCTGAGACAATGTATATTTCATATGACGATATTCCTACACGGAATCAAAAGTAATGCATGGCCTTTTGACATGAACGGCTAAGATCATCATTACATGCGCTTAACTTCTGTCAGTCATACATTTTTTTTCACTGTAATATAACAGCTATGTTACCGCGCATGTGTGTGTAAGCTGCTTTGTGCCTCGGCTTACATCTGCTGCTTATCACAACACTGCTCTCTTGTTTCCCTGCAGGTAAATACAGCCCTTGCACAACCACAGAGGTGAGTAACTCCACTGTAGTTCTGTTGTTCTTGTATTTCACCATCACATGCTTACAGAGGCTTGAACAATATTATGTGGACATTATTTACTTGTGTATAATATCAAAGTACATGTTGTGGGCAAGGGAGGACATTATAACTTGGGCACATTATATATGGAATAACAAGGAGCTTTTATTTCAGTTTTGCTTACTGTATGTTCTCAATGTTTACTTCATGTTTTTGATGTGCAACTTTATTGCTGCATGGTCAAAATATAAAAAAATATATACATGTTTAAAATTAGTATTTTGGTCACATGACTGGATTAGTTTGAGTGTAACTAGTTGTGAAACCTTGGTTGGAAGACTTTGGTTGATTACCTCACAAGCCTCCCAGAGTGCAGGCTGGGAAAGGAAAGGAACCAGTCAGTCAATTAACGGGATATTGATGGAGGGAGATGTATGGTTGTACAGGGAGAGATAATAACAGGCTTAATCGTAGTAGAAGCATTTTCTCCTCTTTAAATATTTACCTCCCACAGTTGGTTACATTAGCTAGTTACAGTCAAAGAGGGCGGCCAGCCACAACAACAGAGATGGCACATTAGGGCGGGCACTCTGCGGGATTATTTCAAGTGCAACCGGAGTCAGATAGTGCTGTGGTTGAAACTGTCATAAGCCGTGGGTGTGTGCTGTGTTGATCCTCATGCCTGCAAACGCGGCCGCTGTGGGTCCCCTGCTGCTTAATGAACCAATACTTTTAATAGATAAAATCTTCAAATGCATCTTTCTAATTGGGTTCATTACAAGCTTCGGACTCAGCGTTACATAGAAAACTGCTTCAAAACAGCAAAACGAGCACCGGACGGTGTCCAATGCAAGTTGGTGATGGAGATAGTTTCTGGCATGCAGCAGCATCAACGTCGCCTACCATAACGGCTCTGCTAGCATGTCGATGTCGTGAAACAATGAGCAGAAGGTAATGCATTAAAGAAATGGTTCCACATTTTGGGAAATGTGCTTTTTCACTTTTTTGCCGAGAGTTAGATGAAAAGATCGATACCACTCTCATGTCTGTACGTTGCAAGTGTGGAGCTGAAGCCATGAGCCAATTAGCCGTTTAAAGACTGGAAACAGCTAGCTGGGTTAAAAGATACACCCATACTTTAAGCCTTGATATAATATAAATGGGTGATTTAAATAATAATTCACCCACCTACAATTTTAATGAACGGGGAAATTAGCTATATGACCGGGCTCTAAACATGTTAATTCCTGCTCCGAAGTTTGGTATTTTAAAAACGGGCTAATTAACCCATTGTGTCATTTCTCTTACCTCATGTAAGTCATCTTTACTTTTCTGTTTGTGTTGAGATCAAACAAATAAGATACACAGCGTTAATTAGTGCGCTTTTGAAGTATTTTTAACAGTTACCACCTGCTTCCAGTCTTGCTGCTATGCTAAGCTAAGCTAATCACCTCCTGCCTAGATTCATACTTAACTCATCAGAGTGGCAGTAATATTCGCATTTAACTCTTGGCATGTAAGTGAAGAACTATTCTATTTACACAGGGCAAATACTGTGGAAGGGCCTCAGTACAAGATAATGCCTTTTACTTTGTCTTAACACAACGCAATGATACTTTCTTATTAGCATTGCTGTAAATAGCTTATTTTCACTGCTAGTTACACAAATTGTTATGACAAGTAGTCAGCATGGAAGACCATTGTCTGGCATTCCCATCCTCCCTTCACCCAGCGTGTGTCTTCTTCACCCGTCATTTTCTCCACCAGCCCCAGAGCTCCCAGCTGACTGGTAGGAAATGTCACCCAGCAAGGCCTCCTGTTTGATGGCAGTTCTGGGAGCAGTTCCGAACCTAATTAAAGGGCTCTTTCCTCCAACAGCTGCTGTTAATTGTTCTAACAATAGTTTGTGAGAAGAGGTCTTACAGCTTGCCCGCTATTCGCGTTTTAGGAATATGTTGCTGGATGTTGTAGAATAGATGGAATAATTTTAGCCCACAGGGTATGTGTTTTGGCGTCACTTGAGAGTGTTTGATGAATTCAAAGCTAGGTTTTGGTCTGACAGTATTTGGTGTCTGTGATGTTGCACGCTGTCTGACAATCTCTTCCCAGTTCGTTAGAGACAGAGTGCAGCAGTTTTCAGGGGGCTCTGGAGATGGATTGCTGTGTTATAGGACTGCGATAACAGATGGAGAGCGACTAACTCAAGCACACTCACACACACACACACACACACACACACACACACGTTGTAGCAGCAGAGAATGTGAAATTGTATAGTCAAATCTCTGTTAAGCAGCTTTGCACGAGAAATGAGTTCTCACAATGCATTGCGCTACAGACTGGCTGACAAAACCACCGGCGAGTTGATCCTGCAGCAGAGGCGTTCTGCTCTAGCATGCAGTGTGGAATTAGCCCAAAGCTGGATGAGCAGGAGCACATGTGTAGCCGTGGCCGACATACATTATCCGCACACGGCTGCAAAACAGCGTGAACTCCAGCAAATGATGCGGCTGCGGATGTCAGATGATGGTGTTGTCTTCAGAGCCAGTGAAACGAGCTCCTGACAGGGCTCTGTGTTCAGTACTTAACTATTGCTAAGTCCACTGGAAATGGATGATATTTTTTCGCAAATTTTCACTCAAATATGACACATCTGCTCTTTAGCTACACATTTCCACCTTTTTACATGTCGGGGTCCCATGATGCATTATAACCCATGAATTTGTGGATTATGCTTCATCACGTCCCCCCGCTGTCAAAGTTTAACCGTGCGTGCTCCTTGCCCTCATAATATCTGAGCTTTGAAGTCTAGGAAAGAGATTAGAGTTTAACGTTGAATTCGGTGTTTAACGTAAACAGAAAATTTTGGTCAGGAGTTATGAAAGTGTTTGGCAGGAATAGTATTTGCTTTTATGTGAAAAAAGAGAAGAATAACCCCCCAAAAAAAAACAAAGGGGGAGGAAATGCATGTGGTTTTGTTCAAGTGTTCTCTCTGTTCTGTGTGTGAAGTCATGCGGGTTCCTCATACCGGACAAACCAGAGGAACCGCTCTCAGTCATATGACCATCAGAGGTCACGGCATCAGGTGTGAGAGTCTGAGAGGAAGTAACCCACACTTTACACAAATGTCATCCATTATTAAGTGGACAGATTGATTTTTAGATGAGGAGTTGTGTATTGTCCATTCTTTTGTGTGTAAAAGCCCATATTTCCCCAGGCAAACTTCGCAAATACAATAGTCTTTTTTGCTGTGGTGGGAGTTACAGTGGTGCAGTGGTTAGCACATTCGCCTCACAGGAAGGGGGTTCTGGGTTCGAACTGTGATCGACTGGCGTTCTGCCCGGGGTGGACCCCGCCTCTCGTCCGATGCCAGCTGGGATCTGCTCCAGCTCCCCACAACCCTGAGAAGGACAAGCTGTTACAGATAATTGATGGATGGATGGCTTCTGCTGGAGTGCTCTTCAATAAGCACAAATGTTTTTAGATGAATTAATTGAAACAAAAACCCATGTTTGTGCCATCCGGTCTTTGCCATGATACATACTTACAACATGCTCAAATATCACCAATCCTTATTTGGTGATCCGCTAGTGCCACCAGTAGGACAATGTTTCACTTATCCATTGAAATATCTCAACATCTACAATGTGTATCGGCACAAAATTTGGTACAGACATTAAACTTAAACTGCGTTACAGTTATATGCATACAGGTACATACATGGAAGTTGACCTTTGCATTTGACCTATCCTAAGCATTAGGATAAGCTTTAGCAACTTGGGGTTCAGTGTCTCGCTCAAAGACACTTCAACGTGTAGACAGTAGGAGCCGGGGATTGAATGGCCAACCTTCTGGTTAAAAGACGACCCTCTAAACCCACTGAACCACTGCCGGTCAAAGTTATTCATGGTCCCCAGATGATGAATCCTACTGACTTTGGTGTTCCTCCGAGTTTCCATCTAGTGCCCCCATGAGGAAATCTTTCAGTTCAGATTGAAACATCTCAAAATCTATCAGATGAATTGCCATGAAATGCAGGTCTTTTTCCTTATTTGTCCCATTAGAATCTGTCCAGTTGATCTCCATTTAAACATTCCCTTTAAGATTAAGTCACAGTATGTCCTAGTTTATGGAGCTATAGTTAATGTGAGTTGTGCATAACTTCACTTTATGATGTCTAATTATTGTTTGTTGTAAAAACTTAAAAGGACAGTAATCAATGGAGAGGTAATTCATTCATGCAGTTTATTTAGTCAATTTTGTTTCAGTAAAATTCTACTCAGCTCACCTACTGTTTACTTTCATTGCCATGACCTAATTCCCATGAACCCATTTAGTAAATATAAATGTTTTAAATCCTCACATTGTTTCTACAATCCTTTAATTCTGACCAGTGCATGCTGATTCTGGTAATCTTCTGCTGGTTGGCTAACAGCAACTGATGGAAGGCTTTTGCAAACGAGAGAGTAGACCTCATAGATTTCAGTTAGCGTATAATTAGCATAATTGGCACCGGTGTTTATCACACAAAGCTACATAACTAAAACTAATGAGATTCACAGTCTAACAGCTGGTGTCTTTGTCTGAGTCCACTAAAAATGTGTAGGCGACCATGACATCTCACTGCCAGACGCATAGAGAACCAGCTCCCTGATGTTTCTTTGAAACCATGAGCTTATTATTTATAAGTCAAGTGTCAGAAAATGTATCAACAATTTTTATAATAGATTCATCCTTTACGTCTTTTAGCAAGAAAGAATTCTTCTTAAAAATTGCTTCTTAAAAAATGTGAGGATTTGACGCAATTTCCTGTTTGATATCACTTTTCATGTTTAGGTTTTCAAATGTCGGTTGGACCAAAAGAAATAAAAATCTAGGGAACATCAACACTTTGGGAAATACCCTTACTTGCTCTTTTGCCGAGGAGTTAGATGAGGAGATGGACGCCACTCAAAATGAAGCTGGAGTCAGTGCTGTCATCACCATGAGGTTGCCATGCAACCAGCAGACACTCCCAGCCAGGAAATAGTCTGGCACACGACACCATGTAAATCCACAAATTATTGTTTTTACACATTGGGTTTTATGGATTATACAAACAGGATGGTGAGCTTCAAAGGCGTTGGAAGGCAGATTTTGTTAACTCTGGACAGAGCCAAGCTAGCTGTTTTGTGCTAAGCTAAGCTATGTCATCGAATGGATGAACCGACAAGGAAACTGAATAGTTGAAGCCCTGCTATACACTGGCCCCATTGGTAAACATATATGAACCTTGTGCAGTTTGCTTTCATTATACATAAGATGGTTTAAATGGTTTTGAATACCTTTAATTGAACTTAAAGGCTGCCTGTAGTCTTAGCATTGATGTACTGTTATACTGAACTTCCGTATAAACAGTGAATACATGGCAGCCGACACCTGGCCATATTAACCCAGAGGGTCCTATTACATCATTTGTACAGAACTAGAACAAACATGTTTCATTCACACGTGTCTACATAAGGCTCTGTTGTCATATATCGTGATGGTGTTCAGTCCTCATATCTGAGGTCATGTACTACAGTTGCTTTTGAGAGCTGTAGTGAAATTTAGCCTTGAATGGATCAGACACCTGAACATAACACTCAGGTGTCCCATTTTGAATGACTTTAATTCGTTATGCTAACCTGCATTGTCCCTCAGGGATAATAGACGATGTAGGTGGATGGTAGATGGATATTGACTGTAGTTTGAAGAGAGGGTTCCTGAATGGGATGTAGTACTGTCTTTTGTGAGGAAGAATTTGAAGCCAGCAGGCGGATAACTAAGGAAAATAACAACTACACATGTGAGAGAACCATCATGGCCGATGCTTTGGGGAATATAAAAAGCTTTCCCCATGCGTCACAATAGTTTTAACTTTGGCCCAGCTTGCCTCCTCTCCGTGACAGGAATGCTGAAATTAAAGCCAGGCTGTTTGATGTTGTTCTTGCTTGCGACGATGGCCACTGCTGCACTTTGCAGCACCGGCAAATCTCTTTTGGTTGACACCTTCATCCTCTCCCCACTTTTTCTCTTTTCCTTCTTCTTTTTTTTTTTTTTTTCTTCTCTCCACCACTTCCTCCCCCTTCATTCCGCTTGGTCGCCTGGAATCCTGGGAAGCAGTCAGGGAGACTTCTAAGTGGAATGGAGACACTGTTTGCTTTAGGCTGCCTTCACAGTCACAAGGACAGTTCTTTCTTCCTGCAATCAGTCATAGTTTGCAGTTAATTATTTGTGAGGGAATGTGTTAGAAAATGACGCCAGCAGGCTTTGAGTGACAGCATAGGCAGGATACCGTCGAACACTAACTGGAGCTGAAAAATAAAGTATGCACAGTCGCGACAATACAACTTTGTTTATGATAATTTTTTTCTTATTAGTTTGTATCTTTAAAAAAATGGAACATGGGTGAATAGCACATCTCCTTTTGGTCAGCAACAGTAAATAGAGACAGAGCGAACTCTGAAAACCATGCCCACCAGAGGGGGACATAATTGGCGCCACAATATGCAACCAAGGACTGAAATGCTAATGAAATGCCTGTAGCTAGCTAAAAAACATGAGATTTCAGCATGTCAAAGGATTATTTTAGCACCCTATGTCTAACAGGGGTGCAGTTGATAACTAAAGTGATAATGGGATGGGACGAGTTAGCTGTTAGCGAGCTAATGTTAGCTATAGCCTTTGTGTTAGCAAGCTAATGTGGTTAGATAAGGCACTTTTAAACATAATACTGCATAGCTTTCTGATTTATCCACATTCTACTATAACAAAATCTGCAAAATGTTAAGCTAAACTTACAGAAATACTGACATTTGCTTGGTGCACACGTGATGTTAGGCATATGGTCAGGATGCCACAGTTTTCACATTTTTACAGCTGATGTCACACTTTCGTGTTCTTAACGGCTAATTGTTTTGCTTCGGCAGCTTATAAAAACATATTTCTTCACGCTGCCCTGTTTAGTGCATTCCACCACACAGCAGCTTTTAGGCATGTTTCTGTTGTTTGCCAGCAGGCGAAAGTGACCTTCACACAATCCAAAGTCAATGGAGAGCCATGCATTGTTTTACTCACCAGTGCTAATTGCACTGTGTCGCTATGGTGAAGCCAGTGATGCGTTCTCCACCAATATATAATGTACACATCTAAAGTTTGTTCTCCACTTGTGAACACAAAGCAATATGTGCAGAGTAGACATATTGCAGACATACAGTAGCTAGTCGATATCTTTAAAGGATGACAAGTCCTGCAGTCTCCCTCTTAATCTCTTTAAAGTTTAATTTGTGGCTGCTTCTTCTGCTAGATAAAAAAAAAAGGTCATTAAAAAAAATGAAGGTGAAAAGAAATTGTCAATCCCATCTGCTGCAGCCTTTCATTTCTTTTTAATCCCTTTAAGTCATTCTCCTTTTTGCAGATCTTTTTTCGATAAGCTGCAGATAAGAAGCGGGAGCCTGAATATCCACATAGTTAACTCATGAAACCATTAGCTGCTTGGCTGGGCAGATCATTCCATACCTGTCACATTTTGTCAGCTGTCTGCTGAAGAGGATTTCTTAATTTACAGCCTGAGTTTGCAGCAAGTCCCTGGAAGAGTGTGCTTGCATGTGCATGTGTGTGCCTACATGGTGACAAATATCAGCGAGTGAGGATCCAGGTGGAGTTTAGACAAAGAGGTGGCCTCACCCCTGAGGAAACCCAGCTCTTATGCACTGATGGGGGAGAGGACAGATCTCTTATATGACTCCTCCTCCCTCCGTGATTGTCTATTGATCTTCATGTCTTCACAGACACACACACACACTCTCTTTATGATTCTGTGATTTACCATTCTCCGCCCTCCTCGACCTCTCTGATCCATTCAACAACTCGCATCATCTTATTCACTTCTTCTTCTTCCTGTCTCTTGATGCATTTCTGTCGCCGATCCTTGTCTTTCTCCCTCCTCCCTGCATCCCCGTTCCCCTTTCTCTCAGTTTCTTTTCTCTCAGAGCTTTATATCTCAGTACTTTCTCAGTGCTCAGGGCTGCAGAATAATCCCAAGTGGATTTCCCACTCTTGTCTTTTGTCTTGGCTTTGGCTTTGCTGCTTTTATCCACCTTGACTCTCTAATTCCACGGCAGATTGAAGGCTATCACTGAGCATAGCATCTTACCAACAAGCACCAACTACTAGAATAGATATAATATCATGTATTTTAAGATTTGGGGGGATATTTTCTACAAATCATATATATTCGACCTTATTTGTATTTCATCCCCCGACAGAAAAAGCATTGCTTCCACCATCGAGGGTTTGCTCCCTTTTTGTCAAAGCTATATTATTTTTGCGTTTTAATACAGTTCAAAGATCAGCCTGTGTTACAGTAAAAAAAAAAAAAGACTTAAGACTTTGTTCAAGAAAGTAATGTGAGACACCACCCACATTTTCCTAGAATCCATGATTGCTTTAGGCCTGTCTCCTGGTTTGACCGGTCACAAAGATGTGAAAAAATTAAATGCTGTTGCTCAACTGACTCCTTGGTCCTGGAAGTGAAAACAATAGCATGGTTTCATAAAGCTTGGCTCAGTCTGCATTCACGTATTGCGTTTAGATATATATTATATTCCTGAGTTGAGTTACGGCAAAATGACTGTCAAATAAAAAATTGAAAAGTTGCTACTTTCACCAAGGGTTGGTTGGAAATGTACGCACTAACAATACTCTTCATACTATAAGTAAGACATGAAATTGAGCATTTAGGTCGTCCAACTGCATAGAATGTTTATTTTGTGTACCCGAGAAATACCTAAATGTATTCTAGATTGGTAAGAACTTTATAGTATGAGACTTGAGTTTACTGGACATATTCTGCCCCAAAATGCAAATAAATTACTGTTATATGAAATGATTACGAATGATGGCGGTGAGGAGAGGAAAAGCGCGGGAGCATACATTACATCACATACATTACATTTTGTTACTGAATGAATTCAAGAGGCTGTTTACCATTTGGTAAAGTATCACTCAAGTCCTGACGTCCTCAAAGTCGAGGAGGAAAACCCAGTGGCTTCTTTCATCCTTTACAAGACGGACTGTATCCACATGAGTACATGTGTGATGATAGTGTTTTCCTTCATGCGTCAGTTAATCACAAGATCTACTATCGGTAATCTGCTCCCAGCGCCGGCCCCTCGAAAGGCCAGCGAGCGTCGGTGTGTTTGCGTGCATCTATGAATGGTCTCTCGTTTAAAAGGTTGAGTCATGAGGTCACCGCATTACAGCTGTTCAGCTCAGGCTCGGCACACAAAAGAGGATCATATTGCATAACAAAGACGGAAATCCATATTTGTTTTTATGATGTGGCAGATAAACAATGGAAAAATGCACAAAAACAAAATAAATGATGCATCCGTCACAAATACATGTGTTTTGCTTAGTGTTCGTACATCCAGTTTAATCATCAGACACCAGTTATTTGGCTGGATTTTACATAAAATATGTACAACCTATGTGCACTGTAAGTTACTACGATAGTTGCCAGTATCACAAAGTTCATAGATAAAAGAACATGCAAGCATGCAGATTGTTATCAACGTTTACAGATCAAGGTGACAGCTACAGAAATGAGCATGTATGTGAAGCTGCTTCTTGGTTGTCTCCCGTGCTCCTGCAGGTGATTGAGTCTCTGGGCATCATGATCTACAAGGCTCTGGATTACGGGCTGAAGGAGAACGAGGAGAGGGAGCTCAGCCCTCCTCTGGAGCAGCTCATCGACCTCATGACTAACATGGCCGAGGCGGAGAGGGACGCCTGCCCCGACGAAGGCTACGAGGCAACAGAGGAAGAGGACGAGGCGGAAGATGACCCTGACAACATCTTCAGCGTCCATGGCTACAGAGATATCTTCGAGGTACGTACAGTAGCTGAGTAAGTGGCTGTTCATGCTCAGGCTAACCAGTCCGTCATGTTGACTGATTGCAAACATGTGACATCTGAAACACGTCACTTCCTGTTTTAAGGTGGATCTAACCTGGAAAAAGGATGTCGCCAACAGCTAATAAGACACCAAATTTACAGCAGCACTCAGAATTAATTTTATGTCAACAATATATCGAACGACTATGCGTAGTGTATTTTAGCTTCTTTCATCTCATTCTTTCGGTTTTACAGTCTGCAACGTTGCTGTTTTGGTTCATCCGCCAGTTTACCGGCGGTGGCATGCAGCTGTATTAGCGAAAAAAGCTGTGCTACATGCCCAGCTCCAAACTGAGTTTAGCTGAAAGAAGCTAAAGAACCATATTTCTTCCCTCAGGAGGTGGTGGAAACCAGAACAAAACAAAAAGGAGAGTGACTATTGACTCCAAATGAATGCTAATGTTGCTCCATGTCTGTTGAATGTGGAAATAGGCAATATCTTTGCACTTTAGCCGTATCACCGTTATAAGATAGTACTGTATGTCAAATGTGTGTTGTATTAGCTAGTTGTGAGGTTCTGCCCCCATGATGATTAATGCAGTTCAAATGTTAAGTGTTTAAATACTGGGCGAGGATTGTGGAGTACTGGATAGAAGCAAAACATTTAGGAGCGTTTCAATCCTCATCTAACAGAGGACTACTACAACAGCTGTGAGGAGTCTGAATTCATGGATTCCAGCAATGTAAGAAGTTCACCATGCCAATCATTGGTTATAATAGGTTGAAGAACCAGTTGAACAATTTGAATGAAATGTTTCATAAGTGAAAGTACAAAAGTATCAGTATCAGCAAAATATGCTTTAAGTATGAAAGGTAGAAAAACAGATTATGCCGAATGGCTCCAGTCGTTGTGTATTATTATAATTTGTATTATTGGATTATTATTAGTGACATGTTAACTTGTAAGCATTTAATTCTTTTTAGATGTCACGGTGGAGTTGATTATAAATATTTATATACTGTTGAGTAGCTGTTATATAATAATGCCTCATATATTGTAATCTCATCATACTTTTTTGACAAAAAGGTTAATTTGAAAAGTAACCAGTAAATATAGCCGCTAAATAAACCCATTCCAGTGAGAAATATCATAATTCGCTTTGCAATCTGGTGGCGAAGTATAACGTAACTTAAAATGGAAACACAGTTCTTGACTGAACAAGATCCTCTGCTGGATTCCAGGAACAGATGATATCAGCGAGGGGGAAAAGATGTGTGTGAGAAAATGGACTCTGGACCACATTGCAGTCTGGCTGCCAGCCTCATCCTTGCTAATAGGGGAGCTGTGTCTCTCTGTTGTCCAATGGAGCCCAGAGTCACTGTGTCAGGCCTCACATGGCTTCACACTGTTTACATAATGACCACATATCCAGTCTCACACACACACACACACACACACACACACTGCTCTCCAAGGTATCTGAGCAGTGTGCCAGCCTGGCTGGCCCGCTGGCTACCGAGCTGTCTGTTCCAATTGTGGTCTCAGTATTTTTCACCCTTGGACCGTTCAGTCTATGTGCTCCCTCGGTTTACCTTTTGTCCTACTGTACTAACCCTAACTGACATCGAATACACTATGAACTGTATTGAACTGAAAATAGCAACAGTTTGTCCATCGACACTGGCTGCAGCATTTTTTGTCTCTTCACACATTCGCGACAGGATGTGGGGCGGAGAACGCTTATGGAGGGACCATTGTCTGCTATTTCCTGCGTTTTGTGACATTTTCTGCAGTGCAGTCTGGACAAATGGACGCCAAGCGCATGCCAAGCATTGGCCCAGGGAACCTTCTGTTCTCTATGAGAGAGACAAGGGTGTATTCTCTCATCACTGTTGGTCTGTCTGTGTGTATGTGCAGCAGCATGGCTGACCTCAGGCATAGTTGTTTTGTCAATCGTGTTCAGCAGTCAGTTGTTTACGAATGTCTGCTTTTTGGGTATTTAGTCTTTATTCAGTGTGCCTGAGATCCTTAAGCAAACAGTTTGACATTGGTGGAAAAAGTATTTGAATCCTTAACTAAAAGTAAATGTTTCCTCATTTTAGACACACAAAGAATGGAACTTCGCACGCTATTCTGAAAACTTGACGATTATGTATCAAGACTAACAATAACAAGACTCCAGACTGCTAAACCTCAAGCACAAATCCATTGTTTTTACTCAATCGAAATTCCAAGTATAAGTATTATCAGTAAACAGTCATATGGTGTCAGTGTTCTACTATCAGAAAAACAGCCCTGTTTTCAGCTTTGTAACAGTTTTCTGTCTAATCCAAGTATTGTTTTCATATATTTTGTTTAGCTTAAGAAGTAGGAGAATGTTCAGCTTTGGTCCAAGTTCCAACATTCAAAATCAAATCAACAAGTTTGGAGACAGATAGTTTTCTTTTGACAGTGTGATATGCAAAACTGTAATGTGAAAAGTAACTGCTAACACTGTCAGACAAATGTAGTGGGGTAAAAAGAACAATATTTGCCTGTGAGATGTGTTGGAGTGAAAGTATAATTATATAAAGCCGGTGTAGACTGAAAACTGTGTTTCTAAATTAAAGTTGCTGAGATTCAGAGAAATGCCATGTAGTGTAGAGCTGAAACAATTAGTCAATCAATTAGTCAATCAAAAATGAATCATCAACACTTTTGATAAGGGTCTTGCGTATTATTTCTTAAAGAAAAAACGCTCAAATTCTCATGTTCCAGCTTCTGAAATGTGAATATTTGCTGGTGTGCTTTTACAATTGCATTATTAGCTAACAAGCCAGCATGAAAACTGTGAACAACTTTTCTAAACGTTTGATGACAGAGGGTGTTAAGAAAGCATAGAGCTCCTCAAACATGGCTGCCAGCGGGCGCTTTACAAAACCTGAAATCCCTTCACTAAGTATGTGATGGTAACATCATAATAACATGGATGTTGTTAGCCATTGGGTTAATAAAATACGTTGCACTTTGTGAATCATTTAGGTGTCATGTCAGCCGTTAGAGCAGCTGTGTGAAGTGTGTACTGAACATCTCTCTTCCTCTGTGCTTCACTGTCTCTCTTGTAGCTGTGCACAGCTCATCTGCCCGGTCTGTCAGACACCCACAGTCACTACCAGGCAGTGTGTCGCGCTCTGTACACAGAAACCAGGGAACTCGGTACTTTCCTGGAGAAGATCAAGAGCGCCAAAGAGGTGGGTCGTCATCATCATCATCATCATCATCATCATCATCATCATCATCATTATGACTGTGGGCTTGAACAGCTCTAATTGGAGTTTAAAGGTATAATATGCAACATTCTGTCAGTTGGTGTTTGTAAAGGTTCAGCATTTGAGTAAAGTTGACCAATGCAGAAGTGCCTTAAACTTGAATTCTCTCTAATGGCCATCAGGGGGCGACTCCTCTGGTTGTATAGAAGTCTATGAGAAAATGACTCTACTTCTCTCTTGATTTATTACCTCAGTAAACATTGTAAACATGAGTTTATGGTCTCAAGTCTTCTTCAATACAGCATGATGTTCATTGAGTAAATTATGGTCCATTTAGAGTCAAATAATAGACCATAAAGTAGAGTATGCTTTAGGGATTGACAGATTTGTCCGGTCTGAGAGTTGTCCGTGTTTTTCGTCTTAGAACTTTAACCCTTTCACAGTGTGTTTTTAATTAATGGAAGTTAATTGTAACATGTTAGTTGCCAAAAAAAATTCTTATTCAGTGTTCTGTTGTACTTAGCTCCACCCTCTCGTGTCACTTCTGGTTGCAAAAAAATAAGATGGTGACGGCCAAAAACCAAGATGGCAACGCCCAAAATGCTGAACTCGAGGCTTTAAAACAGTCCACAGTCACGTCACGGTGACCAGGTCCACTTCTTGTATGCAGTCTATGGCCGAGACAGCCAGCGAGCTTCATCCGTGACAAAGAGGCGCTATTTAAAAATTCCTGCATGTTAAGCCATCAAAATTATGTTTCAGCTAAATTTTCTGCACATGGCCTTCTCCCTTCTAATGAAAGGTTACAGGATGATCGCTGACCTTTACATGAAGGTCATAGCAGGGCGTGTCTTTAAAAGATTTAGCATGGTGACCTTACATGCACCCCACTAATCAACATGACTCTCTCTGCGTGGGTAAAACTGACTGGTTGTAAGATGTCAGTTTTTCTCAATGCTTTTGAGTGTCAAAGGTTAAAACGAGGTAACCAGCAGAGCATAACAATCATGTCTTAGTAAGCAATATTGCCCGTTTCAGTAATAAGCCATCATTCCAGAGAGGATTGCAGCATGTAACAGGCATGGACATAACAGAGACACACACGAGGACATGAGGACAGCTGCTCCGCCTGTGTGACGGAGCAGGGGCGGTCAGCTGATACAGCAAGGCATCCGGGGTAATGACCATGGATAAAGAAATGAACAGACACATCAGTGTGCAGCCTATATTCCTCAAGCTGTGACATAACACTCAGTAACTCTGACTCGCAGCTTTCACAAACAGCTCATCCTCATCACTTTTACGCATTACTCACATTGCTTGTAGCATATCGGAACAAGTGGCCAAAAGTGTTTAAGATTGTTTACACCAAAAAAAAGAAACTACAGTGTATTCCGAAAAATCCAGTTTGTACATAAAACATCACGCAAAGAAAAAAAAGGTAAACATCACTTAAGAGCATCTTGAAAATCCTTTAATTACCCATAATTCATACTTACAGTATATTCATGAGGATAAAACCTGGGTCCTTTTAGATCATGTCCCAAATCCCCCCTAATTTTCAACATCAAAACAAACCTTTAATGAAGCTATTAAGGTCCTTAAAGTTACTTATTGTAACAATTCCACCCTTATTTTACTGTAATATCAAAAGTTTAGGGATGTTTTATGGTACGATATTAAAATCTTCTATTAAATTATCTCAATGCACTTCCCAGCACCTGTGTCATTGAAAAATTGGTCCGAAAAGAGTGACGTTGATGTCATTTTTTTTTTGGTTGGCGGTGGGAAACTTTCTTTGAAGAGCAGTGAAGTTTTTTTTGTATTTGTTCTTACCCTAAACTGATGTTTTAGTTCAGCAATCCTTTGTAAAACCGTTACATAAATAGTTACATCATACCACTTTGCCACTGCGGAGAACAGCAGCTCTGTCTTTGTTTCAGGGTTGCATTAAAGCATATACTGGTGGTGCTCCATCAGAATATTTAGGCATAAACTGAGGGTGCACGGTTAAACAAGTACAAATTAAACACTGCACATTATGCTGACATGTGGTGAGGAAGGATGTTGCAATTATTTTCTGACATAATAACGCTGGGGGGAGCTTTGGTTTTTTTACAAAGTGGAACATAAGGGTTCCTCGTCCTCATCATCCTGATGTACAGCAGCTTACAATAATGATCACATTTATTTTAGGATGTAGTATGTTTTAGAGAAACTTTGGGAAATTCAAGCATTTTATGAAATATTAAATATCAGTTAACTTGTGCTGTCCATTTCTAATCTAACAGGGCCTCCTCCATGTCAACAGCTATGAACAGAAAAAATCAACCTTGACTTTAATTGCCCATTTAATATTTCATATATGTATTTTTTATGGTGGTGTGTATCCCAGAGTTTTTCTTCCCATCCACTCACTGTTCACTGGTTTGATGGGTCACCCTGCTTTTAAAAGAGTCATTGAGAGTTTCGCGGTTACACAATGGCATGTATGTGGTTTGAGAGTATGTTACAACCTGGCTAAAGTAGTAAAAACAAAAAATATTTGTACATTTTAGTATTTTTTTGGCATGAAAGTGGTCAAACTTGACAAAAGTCAGTATGAGGACAAAATACCAGCCGTCAGCAGCTTTGATACAACCCGGCCAAGTGTATACGTCACTACTGTTGTAATGTCCAAACAGTCCGTCACAGCTGCAGTGTGTGGATGACAGGCCGTGCTCTCACTCACACACACACACACACACACACACTGCAGGCTGACAGGTTGAAGTGGGTCACCGTGAACAATGAGAATGACATGTTGGTTATTCATGTCCGACATAGATGACAATATCTGGAGACATGCTGACTCTCATTCTGCCAAAATCAACGAGTTCAGCTTCTCACAGCTCACATTCAGAGAGGCACGATTCATATAATCATGTGCGAGACTCCTATTGTAGTGATACGAGGGTCTGTAATGTAACATGTTTCCAACTTGTTTGCATACTGCAAAGGATTAATGCACAGTGTATTATTGGCATGCTGTCTGTTATGGGTCATGTGTCCATGTTCAAAATGGTGGTGGTTTCAAATTGTTCTCCCTTAGTTTCTGTCTGGTTTGCACAGTGAGAATACATTATAATCACTGCTTCCTACGTGAATGAAAATGCTTGAAAAGCGGCTTGGGAAAAATGAACGTGAGTTCATAATATAATCCTCCAATCACAAAGTCATGTCTTGTTGGTGCAGGACTCATTTTGGGCTTTGTTTTTCCTCGGGAGCACAGCTGTGGGTTGGAACATTTCATTGAGGAGGTGTGTGTGTGTGTGTGTGTTGCACCTCAGGGTTCCTTCCTGTAATACACTACTGCTGCTGCCCTTTTAGTGTGCGCATACTGCGTAATGCATCGGCATGAATAGTGGGGATTTGGCTGGTTACATAACTCTCTGTTAGGAGAGAGGACTTATTGCAGGGTGGAGAAAGAAGCCTGAAAAAAAAATAGGAAATTGGAGACTGCATTCTTTTGAAGCCTTTAAAATAAGGAAGTAATGTTTTTGACACTGGTGATCCCATGACGTAAACTCTAGCCTCACAAAAACATTGACTTTCATAGTTTTGAGGGAAATTCCTCAACAACTATGGGATGGTACAAACATTGGTTGTAATCTCCCTGCTGATTCTCTGACTTTTCCTCCGGCGTCATTATTAGGTCAAATACCTGCAAAACGAATGCCATTCCCATCATCCCCAGCTTTACTTTACGTTTAGTAAGCAAATATTAGCAAATATTGGCATGCTAACATGCTCAGCTAAAACAGTTACCCCGGTAAATGCTATACGTGTTAAACATGGGCATGTTATTATTGTCATTGCGAGCATGTTAGTATACTAATGTTGGCATTTAACTCAAAGCACCACTGTACCTACAGCCTCATGGAGCTCCTTCATTGGCTGACTCTTCTTTTGAAACAAACGTGTGTCTATGTCCCGTTGTGTCTAGATGGTTACCCACAAGTTGGGGCAAACGCAAGAAAACTCTGGCGAGGCTCGCTGCCCAACGCTCTAACCTCAACCCTTCAAAGCCTATGCCTAGCCTCAACTATCTTGTGAGAGTGTCACATCTTGTGGGTTACCTTCTAGACACGACCATTACCCGGTTTATATGGTTTTGTCATATGTACAATATTAAAGAATAAGTTTAAAAAGCAATAAACACAAGGAGGAAATTATGAAATGTCAGACAAGAATTAGCTTAATTGTCTCTAGATACTAAAATCAAATAGAATGTGTGACCTTACTTCAGTGTCATTGTCAACAAATATGGAAACACTTCCCAGTCTGCACGGTGGAGCTGTGCCGACCCACAGTGGATCCATGGTTATCTGTCCACCACTACCAGCCATGGCTGCCAAAGAGTTGTTTTGTCTCTCCACAGAGAGAGAATTAATGAAAGGCAGCCGAATTACTGGTGATTCACAGAAACTACTCCGGCTCCTATTTTTGCTCGTAGATAAGTGTCTTTTGTCAGCTGTCGAGACCTGAAAATGAAGAACAACTTGAGCAGAATTCACTGACTAGAAAAAATGAGGTTGTAGATGCAGTTGGTAATCGCCCTAATTATTCATGTGGACGTTTTGTCCGGGGGTTGCTGTGCACATTTGAATTAAAACGCCGTCCCCATCGACTGCAGAGAGCACTGCTTGGTCAAACCTTTTGAAATGGAAATATGTGCCATTGATGTGATTTCATGACGCGCCACTCATACAAATGAGATAATGGTGTTTAAAAGCAAGGGAACTAATCTCTCTTTATGCCCTTCACTGGCTAGATTAGCAGTGTTTTAATTGGGTGGGCTGTTATATGCCATTATGCCCTTCAGCATTACCTTGTGGCACTAAGGAACTGTGCACACTGTGGGCATGCAGAGTCATGAGGCACCTAAATGCATTATGTTGTGAGTGATATACTGCTACCTCGAGTCTACAGTCCAGTCGAATGCAGCTTTGACAATATAATGGTGAACTGTGATTTCCCCGGTGGGTTGAGGTCTTAACTCTGCAGTCAGCTGGGCGCACTCCCGTGATTGTCTTATCAAGCAATCTCACCACAAACATTAACCAGAGGGAACACATTTTTTGCCTGCTTTTAAAATACTCATACACTTTTAGTTACATTTTGTTTCCTTGGCTCTCTCACTCTCTATTACACACACACGACTGTGGCTTAGTGGAGAGCAGGGTCGTCCTTCAATCAAAGGATCCCCGGCTCTGCTGGTTGCATGTCGATGTGTCCTTGGGCAAGACACTTAACCCCAAAATTGCTCCCGTAGCTGTGCCTACAGTGTGTGAGTGTGTGTGTGTGCGTGTGTGTGTGTGTGTGTGTGTGTGTGTGTGTGTGTGTGAATGTTAGTTAGTCCTGATGGTGGGCATGGTAGTCCCTGCCATCAGTGTATGAATGGGTGAATAATGACAAGTAGTGTGAAAGCACTTTGAGTGGTCGGAAAAGCACTATACAAGTCCATTGACCATTACCATTTACACACACACACACACACACACACACACACACACACACACACACACAGACACATTGACTTTGTCCTCTGCTGAACTCGGAAAGCACCAGCAGAGGAATGCAGGTTTAGCTCCCTTGTTTCCCACAGACAGTCAGTCTGACTGTCAGTGTTTTACAACACTCTAATGGCCTCACGTTGTGCAGGTTCACACAGGTGTCAGGATGGAGGAGCTGAGGTTTCAGTTGACTGCAGGATAACAAGGGACTGTGTAAGGTTCCCTTTTTTGTTTCTTTTTAGTTTGCATAAAAAGGGCACTTTTTCAAGAACATGCTAGCAGCTATGTGAGGCTGTAATGCTTATTGTACAAACAAAACTAACATTAGCTGAACAAAGAACCCAAATTGGATTATTGGCCGTTGTGGTTAAGTAATTGTAAAAATCATAGTGGTTGGTAAGACAGTGGCTGTTTTGCTAACATTCTCAAAATGACAATGTCAACATGCTAATATTTAGCGGGTTATGTTTACAGTATGTACATTGTCTTGGCTTAGCGTATTAACATGCTAACATTTGCTGAAATGCAAATAGGCCTTTTTGAAAAAGGCCTATTTGCATTTGGCTTTTTCACAAACAATATTTTGAATTGACATATAAAGAAAAGCACAGGTGTTACTAATAACATTGTTCAAGTGTCCTATTAAGACATGACAGTTTAGCCGGCAGGCACTATACCAGGACCCCGAAACAGAACCAACTGAATCAAATTCAACCATCATTAATTTAATTATTTCGCTACACCTGTGCTTTTGCTTCTGTGACATGTCAAAATGTCTTCAGGGGAAAAGGCCAGTCTGGAAACATAACAGGGTCTACAGCCATGCTATCAGCTCTATGTTGCTAACGCTCATTATATAGGAAAACAAACCGTATGGTGAATATGTTGATTCTTAGCTGTCGTGGGACATTTTATGTAAAAAAGTGGTTGGTAAGGCAGCGGTTGTGATGCTAACATAACAATGACAATGCTAACATGCTAGTGTTTAGCATGTTTACCACTATCTTTACTTGCTAGCATGTAAGCACGCTAGCATTTGCTGATGTGGAAAATTAGCACCAAGCACAAAGTGCAGTCAAAGTGGTCGAGGGACCACTGAGGTTATTACAATTCATCCTTTGGGGAACATGAATGCTTGTGCCAAAAGTCATGGCTATCCATCAAACAGTTATTTCCCTCTGGACTGAGTGACCTATCAACCAACATTACTAGCATCCTATCTAGAGCAAACCACTAGCTAAAAATCCAAATATTAATGTTGTATTTTCTTGTAAATCTCTGCAAAGACTGAATAGCTTTTTTTTTTCTTTTTTTTTTACAATATTATGTCAGCAAACAACTATATCCGTCATGAAGTTATTATAAGAATCTTTTATTTCATAGACTATGAACAGTTTTTCCTACAGTTTATGTGATGATGGGGACTGGTGGTGCATCACACATTAAAAGCTCATGTTAGCTGTCTTTAATTGTTCAATTTAAACTGAATGACACTTAGAGTCTTCAAAATAGAAATTTTCCACAAGTGTAACACTATGACAGGCTAAACTGGTAAAAAACAGCTCTGACTTTGTTGGTCCACATGTACTTCAAACTCTGTCTCTCTCTGTCTTTCCACCAGAACCTGCGTAAGATGGAGGCAGGGTCATCCGAGGACCCCAGCAGAGACCTGAATGAGCTACAGAACGATGACTGGGTAAGCAAACAGACTCAACTGACCTCTGACCTCCGGCCTCAACTGATCATTTGACCAAAGCCAAACTCACTCTCACTCACTAGAGAGGCCTGAGCAAGAATTATTGCTCCTGATTCAAAGGGTCGTGGTATTTTTTACTTCCCCTTATCCATGCTGCCCTTTGCCTCCGTCAGGCTCGATTCTGGGTTCAGGTGATGAGGAGCCTGCGTGAAGGAGTGAAGCTGAAGAAGGTGCAGGACCGTCAGTACAACCCTCTGCCCATCGAGTACCAGCTCACCCCCTACGAGATGCTCATGGACGACATCAAGTCCCAACGCTACAAACTGCGCAAAGTCATGGTCAGTAGAAATTGATGCCTCATGCATTCCTCCTGCTTGCTGCACTTCTACATGTCACCACAGAAAAGGCTGCCATGTTAACAAAACATCATGAAAAACAGTACCATGTCATAGGTTGTTAATAGAAATGGCATAAAAATTAATCTCAGATGGTTTTGATATTAAGGCGATAGTTTGCTGCTTTGCACTATTTTACAAAATTGTCACATTTGTGGGTTTTGCAATGTTGGAGAAAACAAGATATTCAAAGACGTCACCTTGGTTTTTGGGAAGTTGTGATGTTCATCTTTTACTTTTTTCTTTTTTTCACACTCTACAGACTAAACAATTTATCGATCAACCCCCAAAATAATAATTATAATTGACTAATTGATAATGACATTATCATTATCAATGAATTATTAGAAATAATGATTAGTTGCAGCCTTAGCTGATAGCTCTATTTATGGTCCTTGATTTAGTTGTCTTGCAACTGGTAATTTGACTTTTTCTGTACCTCTACCTCAGAGTGGAATGTGGTACCAGATTATTCACCTTTTCCATGTCATGCGCTCCAGTTAATAAATAACCTTCTGCAACAAGCAGGATACCTGAACTAGCTGTCTGTCTGTCTGTGGGTACCGCTTCCATATTGTATTGTCCTGTTCTGTTGTTCCAGATAAATGGAAACATCCCACCGAGGTTAAAGAAGAGCGCTCATGAAGTCATCCTGGAGTTCATCAGGTCCAGACCACCTCTCAACCCTGTGAGTGCAGCTCAAGACTTAAATATCACAACCCATCCTTGTGCAGCCTGTACAAGTCTTTGTTGATTACAACAGACCAGTGAACTGTCTTCAAATGAGAGCATCAACCAACATCCGGCCAGAACAGTGGTTTCCAACCTTTTGAGGCTTGTGACTCCTTCTCAGTTGTGTCATACATTTATCATTTGTGACCAGTTCAACCAAAGTGTCCCCTTGTTTTATTCAAACTGATTTTAGAGGCTCAAAGAGGGACTTCATCCAGTGATTGATAAGAAAAAAAGCTTAGATTTTAGTCTGAAAGTCTGAAATGATAAACTGGAGACAGAAAATGCTGATTTGACATAGTTATAAGGCCAGAACTATCAATTGTTAAAATTGTGTCATAGGCACTAATAGTTAACAAAACATCATGGAAGATAGTGCCATGACATAGACTGTTTTGGAATAATCCCTGCCATACTGGTACATGGCAACTATAAGCCATTTGGCATTGCTGACAATAATGCAGAAACAGTTCAGTTCTATCAATTAGTTGTTTTAAAGAAAATAAATCAGAGACAGTTTTGAGAATCAAGGGTGAGGCAATATTTTAGTGATTTATCCTGTCTGACATTATCTTCAATGAAACATATCTGGGTTTTAGACTGTTTAAAACCCTGATCTATGCAAGTCCTCCTTTACTCTGTCTCTACAATGGAGTGCAAAGTTAGCAAGACCAATAAAGCCACTATTGCCACATTTATAGTAAATACGACGCTCAACTCTGGGTAATGAGATGAGCAGTCAGTCACAGTAGATAAGAGGAGGTGGTGATGATAAAGACTTCTGGCTATAACCCTGTTAGTTGTTGCGCTCTGCTCCACTGACTCTCTGTGTCACTGTCTCTATTTTACCCATCATCGACCTGTGCTAGGCGTCAGCCCGTAAGCTGAAGCCACAGACTCGGCTTCCTCCAACGCTGCATGAACGCATCTTGGAGGAAATCAAAGCGGAGAGGAAACTCCGACCGGTGTCTCCTGGTGAGGTCCGCAGGGGAAGGCTGGGTAAGGAAACTCACCACTTCTCTGTCCCTGCTCTTGTTGTTAATCACACACACAAACACACTCTCACGCACATGAAAACATACTTCGCTCTGAAATGTATTGTTTTTAAGCTGAAGTATGGAGCTGGTGCTTGCAGATGAGAAATGTGTAGCAGCTTGATGTTTTAGTTCCTTTCTCACTTTACTGCACTATTATTTGTGCCTCTGCTCTTTGCTGTTGTTGCTAATTCTGCCTAACTTCTCCTATTTGTGTTGCAACTATAATGCCTTTAATTATTGTTTTGTTGACTAGACTGTTTGCAACATAGTGGAAGTTTTTACGATAACGCTAAGTGTCTCAATTATTTTAATCCTAACGATGACAAAACCACTGCTGTTTCTGAATGTCAGTAATCTCTCACCATCGGCTGTGGCTTATTTGAAATCCTATTATCTCCCATCATGAAAGTTGTTACACTTCAGTGATCTAGAACCAGACAACAAGCGTGCTGTACCCCTGCATGTCCTGCCAAATACAAGCAGATTACATCCTTTAATGTAGTGCAGTAAGTCTTGCCTTGATTTACCTCCTAACCACAAGCAATAACTGTCCGATGCCATGACTGTTTCTCGTTGCAGTAATTCGGCCACTTAGCATGTCTTTCAGTTTTGACGCGTCAGGTAAAGTCTACCTCACTGCTTGTTTGGCTTTTTCTTTTTTCTTTTTTAAATATCTCTTTCTGTTTCTTTCCTTGTTGTGGCTGCTCATCTGCTCTCCCAGCCTGCACACACATCAAACACACTCTATCAGCACACCGCACACACATTCCATGTCATGCTTCCGTGGTTGGTGGTGGTCGGCTGTGGTCTGTGGAGGTGAAACATGGTGACACCGTGGGACACCGGTGGTCGGTAGAAGGACACCGAGGAGAGCGAACTGATGAGAGACACTTTGACCGGCAGAGTGGACACAGGATGTTCATTCACGGTACAAACAGACAGAGCTGTAGTCAGGGCAACCACTGAGAGACACTGAGGTAATGTCATTTGTATTTCCCCTGATTTATATAAGCTGCTCTATATATACAAATTTGACTGTTTTTGCATTTAGTCTTTCATCTTGGAAAAAAGTGAAATATAATATAATTTAACAGTAGGAAATAAATAAATCCAAATGTATAAAAAATGCTCAGTTGATTAAAAATATATATATATATCATCTCACATTTGTGTTTAGGATGCACACAAGTAGGTTTAAAAGTGATTCACTCCAACCCTCCAGATATGATAGGCTCACTGCGCAGTTTCCCAACAACCTTTGATTCAAGGTTTGCAAAATATAAACAAAAACAGGGGTAAAGCTGAAACTAGATCTGCCACAACCCATGTGTTTTCTGTGGAGTAATACTTTTATACGTCGGATGAAATAGCAAGAGGGAATTCTAACGTCCCATTATCATCTGGCCGTCCTAAAGGGAGAGATTAAACTCAGCTGGCTGATTGAAACAGATCACATGGTCTCACGGGCGGCTTGGGATATTTAAAAGGCTTTACTGCTCTCGGTGCTATGTGATTACATACTGAATTAATGGCCAGTGACGGTTTAAATAACATTATCCAGCTGAGTTTTATGTACAATGTCATTACTTCTTCTTTTTATGTAGTTTTATTTCTGCTGCGTACATCTGGCTTTTCTTTTTTTCTGAAGGACTGGTTGTGAAATGACATTGCCTCAGTGTCTTTCTTTGGAGGACAACATGTGGGTGTAATAATCCAACTCCATCATAGAAATGTCCATCTCCAGCTCCTGTCATACACAGTGACAGCATTACGCATATCACTCCTGAAAACTGGTCCTGCTTGTTGCTGCTGATCTCCAAACACCCAGGAAACGGTTCACCTTTGCTCAGTACATCATCTGTCAAGTACACTATTGTGATGTGAATCTTAAAGGTGCAATGTGTAAAATCTGGCCATCATTTTATTTTGAAAAATAAAAAGTTGTGGCTAGACATTACACATGGCCTCTTTGAGTGGAAGTGTGTAGCCGGCCATCAAATCAGGCAGCGAAAATGGACAGCTGAAACTTTACACAAGAGAGTATTTCATGTACTATGTGACTATGCAGAATTTAATCATGGTGCAGCCTCATGCTCTGCACAGCCAACTTAATGAGACAGTTCCGATTGAGGTGATAAGGAAATACTGCTGAGGCAGGCAAATCAGATAAATGCTGTGCTCCACTTTCCCTCCTCCCGAAGCCAGTATCTCATCACACTGCAGGCTTTATCACCTCTCACATACTCATTCATGCTGTCTGATAATGTGTGTGTGTGTGTGTGTGTGTGTGTGTGTGTGTGTACGAACTTCCCTCGATCATTCTCATACAGAGGAAGCAGTTTAATTCTAACTTTGCTCTGTATTTTATGGGGGAGATGCTCCATTAAGGTTTTTCAGGAGCAAGAAAATACAGTTTCAAGGAGAAATCCATTTCACGAGATACAAACACGACTCTTGGTAATGTATCATGCACTTCTGGGTCCTTTTTGTTGTTTGGTGGTGGCAAATATGAGATGGTGTGTCTGACTGGGATGTTTATTATCCATCAACAATTTATGGAATAGCTTGATATTTTAGAAAATGCGCTTAGCTTGCGAGGGTTAGATGGGAAGATCAACACCACTCTCATGTCTGAGCAGTATACATGAAACTAAAGCCAGGAGGTGGTTAGCTTAGCTTAGCATAAAGACTGCGAGCAGGGGAAAACAGCTAGCCTTTCAGGGACTATTTCTTGGTAAACAGGGGCGCAGTAAGACAACAGGAAGTCACTGCACCCTGCCAAGAAATAGTTACAATATATTTAACTCCATGTAAAACCACAACTTGTTTTTTCTACATTTCTTTTTGGCATTAGAGATTAAACAAACAAGATTCAAAAAGTTACCTAGTTAACTTGAGAGTTAATTGTTAGCTATTACCAGTCTTCATGCTAAGCTAAGCTAATCGCCTCCTGGGTGTCGATTCATACTTAACGCAAAGATAGTGAGAGTGGTACCAATCAACTCATATCATTTTCACCAAGAAAGCGATTAAGGATCTCTCCCTAAATCTGGAACTACTCCTTTAAAAAACAAAAAAATGGTTTAACTATAAGGTGCTAAATTCGATGTTGTGAGCTCATTGATTGCCTCCCCATGGCTCTCAACATGTCGACAGCTGAGCCGGCGGCTTGCAGCTAACAGTGCAAAGAACTACAACAGTACTGACAGAGCTGACAGTGTTTACCTTGGTAGGGGAACCAGGGATGGGGGAGGGTGGGTCCACCACAAAAGTAAATTTGCCACATTGAACCACACAATAATGCAATGACTGCATCTATCAAGATATATTATTGAGACCAAACAGCACAGACATACCAAATAATGGAATGTTGTTATAGTTATCCTAATGAAGGAGGTGTCCCCTTTCAGGTTTTGGCAAAACTCGCAGTATGCCACAGGATTTGTTCCGTACTGGAGGTAAAGTATGAGCTCTGCTGTGGTTTGGAAGGGCTTTTTCTTACCCATAACCTAATGGCCTCGTCTGTCTGCCTCCCTGGCTGTAAACTAAAATATCCTCTATTTACATATTTGAATACTGAAGCCTTGCCAAGACACAGGTGGAGTGTACATTAATGGCAAATTATGGCTGGTTTGTTTTGTTGTAAAGTAAAGTCTGAAGCCTGGTGATGTAGTCTCTTAACTTGGAGAAAAGTTAGTTCTCGTCCAGCAGCAGAGACAGAGCTCCCGTCGGATGCTTTTCTCACAAACAGGAGAAGAAACTGAAAGGAGAAAAGAGAGGTTTCAGGGCTGCATCTTTTTATCTGTCTTTTGCAGCATTGCCTCGTCTCCTCTGCTCTCACTCCATCCCTCCCGTTAAACCCTCTATTCAGTTTTAGTTTTTTTTCAAGAGTCAGGCAGCTTCTTAGGTAGTTGGTTATTGTCTTATCTTTGGACTCCTCTCTCAGTGCAGAAATAACCTTGTGGCGCTTGATTTGAAGGATTCAGCTCCCCCTGAGAATAATAAGAATAAGAATCATCCATGCTCTGTGTGTAACACCAGCCTGCTCCTCTGCCTCCCCTCAGACCAACTTAACTCGCCCTCCCGGACCTCTTCAACCTTGGGATAGATCTCAAACCTCAGTCCTCTGTATAGGATTCAATGCATCTTTTCAACTCATCCGCCCATTAAACACACTGTGATTTGAAAACCGTCTGTTTCCCCTTTTTTTCGGGGGCAGAACAGTCAAAACAGATTGAAAGAATAACACATGATGCAAAGAATCATGTGAGGATTTAGTTTTGAGATTCAGCTCAAGTGCTTTTCCTCCTTCAGCCTGAATGACTCTCTTGTGTGTGGCTCTGTGCAGATGACTTTAGTCCGTACATGGGCAGGAGGACGTCCAGCTCTCTGTCTCTGGCCAATGGATCAGCCTCTATCAGGGGAGAACCCTCCGGATCACAGTCTGTGCCCCCGAGGAAGAGGCTCCTGAAGGCTCCCATCCTCGCCGAGCTCGACAGCTCTGACTCTGACGTCAGTATGCGTTTGTGTGTGTGTGTGGGATGGATTTCTTTTTTAAAATTTCATCTGGCATGTGCAGAACAAATAACGGTTGAAGTGTTTGTGTATTCCACGCATTCAGGATGATATTTTTGGGCACAAATCAGCTAGCAGCTCCAGCGTGGCTACATCTTTGATGGATGATACGTCCCCGGAGTGTGCTCTGGGGAAGAAAAGTGAGTCAGCAATGTTTTCTACATCCCTGTCACAGCTCAGTCGCCTCCTCAGCTAAACCATACGCTGACTGTGATGAATGAGTTTTAATCTTACAGCCTCGCCAGTCAGAGATTTTGCTCTTTTTTTTCTTGCTGTTTATAATCAGAAGTTCTTGAGCCTTGAATTAACCAATGTAATATTTCCAGTTAAGCTGCCTCCTTGTCTCACTTGTATCTCTCTTTCCTCCATGAACACCAGCTCCCCCCACGTTCCTGCCCATCTCTTCTACACCCCAGCCAGAGAGACGTCACACCCCCCAGAGGAGACACTCCATCGAGAAGGAGACTCCGACCAATGTTCGACTGTTTCAGCCGCCCTCCAAACAGAACTCCAAGTCTCTGGTGAGTCAGACATCTTTACTGTAGCAAGCAGCACTCTCTGCAGTTCATCAAATCCCCATTGACCACTAACCTAAAATGCAATTTTACAGCAGGAATTAACATGTTTACAGCCTACAAAAAAAACGATTTTGCACTATTAAGCTAATATCTCTGTTCATGTCAACTGTAGAGGGGTCAATTTTTATGTAAGTCACCTTTTATAATTATATTAAGGCTTGAAGTTATGCATAATCGAGGGCTTGGCCGCTTTGAGTGACAGGTGGGTGCCGTACCGAGTCGCTAGCTGTCTCCTCAGTAGCGTCACCTTGTCCCGCCTCAGCTTCACTGAAGATCCACCTCTTTGCCCATTTTTAGACTTAGGCTGTGTCGTCATTGTCAAGATAGCGACGGCCGGAGACACTCACTCTGAGCTTCACAACGGCACAAATACTAGGTCGCAAAACAGATTGAAAAAAAGTGGCACGATAAGGGTATTATTATTTTTAAAATGATTTATAAGAGCAGTTGCAGTTAACTAAAAAACAACAAATATAAAAATGGGAGTGGTAATCTGACAAAATCACATCGACTGCATTCAAATCACTGTGACAGTATTCGTGGTTTGTGTGCAGAATGTTAACATAATTAACTCATTATTAGCATTTTATTTTACATTCGTGAGCCAGATGCAATGTCACTTGGTTCTGCTGTGCACTTGCCCTGTGAACAGTATGAATGACAATGTTAATCTCGGTCTATTAGAGCGGTTACTGCGGGCTCTCTGAGGACAGCGTAGCCTGGCAAAGTTTTAAGGCAGCCCGGCCACAGATCCTGTCCAGTAACTTAATAAGGGAGACAAAAGGACAAGAAAAATTAGGATACTAACAGAGAAGCAAAATGAGAAGGGCCTGAAACAGTCAATGTCATCTCTCTTAACCTTTTATTTGCGTGACATGTGTCTTCCTAGATTTCCTCCCTCTCCTTCTTCTATCACCACATCTCCTTTGTATGCTGCTCACATTGTCTGCTGGTGTGACTTCGTCAATCTGCAGGAACCCTCTTTGGTTCAGGTTGGGATGATAGCTTCATTTCGTCCCCGGATCCTCCTCCTCCGCCCGTGTCCCTCCACTCTCCACCCTTTGCAGAGCTCCCACCCTATCGAGGCATTTGCGTTGGGGTTGATGAAGGTGGTGTTTGCTCTGTGCAGGGCTGTTTACATCAGAGGACGAGAGTCGGCCAAGGTTTGCCAGTCTCCCTCAGTCTGATATAATAACTGTAGCTGCCCATCCGCTCCTAATGCTTCCTGCTTCACTAGTAGAGATCATTCCCCTTTAGAGCAGGCTGCTGCCATTATAGGCCAAGGACAAACTGCTTTTTATCTGAGGTGTCACATAGCTAAATATATTATAGTATACTGTACTATGATACATTTATTTAATAATCATTCATTTCACTACTTTTGATAACATTTTAACTCTCAACCACAAGTAGGTAGCTTAAGCTAGAATTCATCTAAATCTGCTCTACATATCATTTGTTTTCAATCAGTGCCAAACTGACATTTCAGACCAGTTGTTATTGAGTATATGTTGACTCTGCAGCATCCGCCACGTCTGCCGGCTGGATACAATCACGTGTGAGTCTGAAACAGCACACAGATCTCTCCCGCTGCAACATCACTGATGGTGTCCAGCACCTCGCCTGCAAAGCAGTTGAGCCTCTGCACCAGGACGTCTTAAACGTAACCCTGTCCGACCTTTTCGCCGGACAGACAGGACCATGTCATCTCCAATGGAGCGGGAGAAGGCGACCTGACGGAGCATGGCGGAGGGAGCAGTGGAGACCTCAACAGCCGTTTTCCTGAGCTGCTTGGAGGGCGTTTTAAATTGAACGAGGTGTTTGGAGGAGGCGACCAGAAGCCCTGAACGACTCTTCGAACCACCTCCATCATGTTGCTCATCAGTTTGTAATCCTGAAATTCCGTCTGAAATTGTTTACAGTCCAAACAAAAAACTAATAAAAGTCAACTCTCACACACCCTGATGGGTCTGTAGATGCCTCGGCTTCCTTCAATAAACTCCATGAATATTTTGTTGCCGCATATGAAAATACAGAAGCGGTTTAGCGTTCAAAGCAACAACGAAATCTTCACAGCGATAGACTCAAGAGTACACAACCCCGGCTGATCCTCCAGGTACAAATTAACTTTTTGTGTTCAGGTGGAAAAGTGTTTGGAATTTATATTCTAGAACAAACGCAGACAGATTTCTGTACAGTCTCCGTGGGAACGCTGCTTTGAGACAAGCATTGTGAGGAACTCTGCTGCAATCATGTCCTCCCATCCCTCCGGTTGTTTACGCATCATGAGCCCTCTCTTTTTTCGTCTTCTTCAGCGAACAATGAGATCACTTTAAGCAGTCCGGACCCACGCAGGCTGCTCTGAAAGGTGCAGAGGGACGGCTGTTTGTGAGCCGAATGATGAACACTGAGTGTTTAACCCACTGTTTGTGTGTGTCATTGCAGGAGGAGTTTGGTTTCCCTGTGGAGTGTCTGTCTCTGACGGTGGAGGAGGTGATGCACATCAGACAGGTGCTGGTTAAGGCAGAGCTGGAGAAGTTCCAGCAGTACAAAGACATCTACACCGCTATGAAGAAGGGAAAGGTAACTTCTTCTTTGTGTACGACGCAAGCTGCCTGTGTCATGTGCAGAAAAAGACAATGAGTAGATGCAGTTGTAACACCCTGAATGAATGTTGTAGCACACATATCTGTCAACTAATTACATTGGGTTAAGTTTGGTGATGTTTGCATTGATTTCTTTTTACTCTTAACGCGGTATTCATCTGTTTTTTTTATTGCAGCTTTGCTTCTGTTGTCGAAGCAAAAGGTTTTCCTTTTTCACCTGGTCCTACATCTGCCAGTTTTGCAAAAAGTAAAACACCTTCAAATATTATCTTTTGTAATTTAAAATGAAAACTATTAAGGAGGAAGCGTAACTGGTTTCATTCATCACTTCCTCCGTTTGCGCTCTCTTTTCTCCCTTTCAGGCCTGTGTGTGCACAGTGCTGCAAAAAGGTGAGTCAAAGCGGATAAATCAATCAGCGGTACAACATGACATCCTGTACCTTCATTTGTTCTGATCAGTCAGCTGGTGCCATTCAAAAATTTAAGTTTTTCTCTACTTTAGAGAGCTCTCCTGTTACCTTATGATAGCAATGTGATTCCAGTCAAGTGAGTTAAAATAAGTTTCAGAATAAGAGCACGTATTGTTAAAGATAAACCTTTGCCCAAACTAGCTGTGAAAGATCAGTTAAAACATTATTACAGGATGTTGAGGATATGAAGTTTTATGAAAGATGTACACCTATCATTTTCATCGGTGTTCTTTCTCAGTATCATCATCATTTAGCTTTTTCTTATTAACATTCATGTCTTCCCTCTCTATCAGATGCGGCTGCCATCCAAACCTTACTCCAGCTTGCCCATCTACTCCATCGGCTCCACCAACACTCTCCCCAGGGAGAGGGTCAGCGCCATGGCTTCCATAGGACAAGGGCTGTCTGTGGCTGGTGGTCCGGGGCCTTCATCAGTGGGAGGGGCCACGGCACCCCCCACTGTGAAAGTAGAAACAACAGAGGCATCTAAAAGAGCTGGAAAAGCCTCTGGAGCAGCAGCTCCAGAGGCTGCTGCTGCTGCTGCTGCCAAATCTGAGAAATCCTCCAGTAGCCCGCAGCGCCACGGCATTCACAAGACCATGTCCAAGTAAGAGCTGTGACCACAATTCTTCAGACTGTGAGGAGTGCTTGTTGTGTCCTAATGTAAAACTAATTATCTTGTGGAGTCTGCATGATACTGGTACAGTGGCCCCTAAGACCAAAACACAAACTGTAAATGAGTAAAATATATTACACATGCAAAGGCTCAAACATGTAGCAAAGCTGAAAACACAAATGCTCATAATCACAAAATGCGGAAAATAATAAAACACAAACAAAAGACAAAGAGGCATTCAATCATATGTAGCTGCTGCTGATATATCCAGTCTGTATCTTTAGAGTATGGTGCACTGTCACTACTACGATCAGAGCTAGTAGAAGATGCATTGAATTTTTTGTCATTTTATCAACTGGCTGGAGACCAAGGAAAAATTACATTAAAAGTTTTTTTTACCAGGCTATTGGTGTTGAAAGGGACCAGCAAACAGATTTGCTGGTCTAGATTGATAAATAGCACGACAGGGAAGAGGAAACATGTGTTTTTGAATTTGGGGGAACGTCCCAAGGTGCATTGACGTATACAGTTATAAACTACATTGGGCTTGACAGGCAACAGACAACAACAGACAACAATCACCACTGCTAAGTGGCAAAAATTGTGGCCCTGTGAAACAGTAAGACATTACTAACACCATTCAACTCAATAGATAAATAAAGCAAAGCAAAGCACAGTTGATATTTTAATTTAGACCAAATTGGATGGAGGTTCTGACATACTGAAGGAATAAGACTGACATCCCTTACAAAGGGTTCCACTCTGCACATTTCTGTTGTGTGGGGTTTGATATCGGCACCATTTCACCTGAGTTGGATTGCATGTCCCTTAGTGTTTGTGTTTGGAGATTTGGTATTTGCAAATTTCTGAATGTGGAACACATTTTACATGCCCAAAAAAGTATTTTCTCAATCCCAGTGGTATCAAACCGTGCAGATTATTTTTGTTTTATTTGTTCGGGTTTTGAGATATCTTTCTCTAAAATTGGTAAATTCAACAGCAGCATTTCTCTCCAAAAACGGTGTACTAATACTCAAACCTTCCTGTTTTCAATGAGGAATGCAAACAATATTAACTAACGATATCAATAATGTATTGACTTTGCATCTTTCATAAACACACGTGCTTTACATTCAAAGGAAAAAAAAAAGTAAGTTAATAAAATCAGCTAGAATACTTAAAAACCTGCAGTAGATACCATCAGGTAATGAAACAAAAAGTATTTTTTTGTAATTAGGCTGAAGTAACCCTTTACAAAATGTGTCCACGACCACACACCCTGGATAGTTTGAACAATTACTCAAAGTCAACCAAACAGTAAAAACACAAACGGTAGTGATCCTGTTCATGCAGAGCTTGTCCTCCTGTTCCATGCAGGTTTTCGAAGCATGGCTCTTTGAAGTCCCACGAAGAGCTGGAGCTTCCCTCGGAGCTGACGGAGGACTGGGCCACCATGGAGGTGTGCGTGGACTGCAAGAAGTTCATCTGTGACATCATCGCCTCCAGCAAGCACAGCCTGTCGCTGGCTACCAAGAGAGCTCGCCTAAAACGCAAGACCCAGTCCTTCTACTTGTCCTCGCCGAAAGGAAGGGAGGAGTACCGGCCCTCTGAACGAACAATCAAGGAGATCTGAATCTCTCTCTCTCTCTCTCTCTCTCTCTCTCTCTCTCTCTCTCTCTCTTTCTCTCTCTCTGGCTGCTTCCAGCTCCTATGGCACAATTATAAAGACTCAACACTGGATGTGATCTTACTGTACATGTTTACTTCAGTGGGATCAAGCTAAAAGTCAGAGTGAGATGAACCTCACTGGTGAACAGTGTGTTTTCTTGTTGCTCTGTCCTGATCATCGTGTACAGCTCCTTCAGACAACAGCATGCTGTAAATCAGCCAATCTTTTTTAAAAATTATTATTACCATATCATAGATGATCCTTTAATCCCCCCCCCCAGCGGCCCAACCCAACTCACGGTCAAATCAATAAGCACAAGACAGACGAAGGACTGACGTGTGTTTGACCTCGTCCGGCACTGCAGAAGGCACGAGGCCTGCAGAGAGATCATATTGTAACTGAGACTGACACTTACAAGAAAATATGGAATATTAGACTGTACAGGTTTTTTGTATGGGTTTTAATTTCTTTATTTGTACACATGTGCGTACAGTAAATGATTGCTCGATGAAGCCACCCTCGGTTTTATTTTGAGACTCTCCCCCACTTTCCTCTTTACCAATCATACTCAAATGCGGGTTTCTCTTTTTCTTGGAGGAGTCTTTGTTTCCTCGCATGTTTTATTTTTATTTTTATTTTTTTTGCAACACATTTAAAATCTGTTTTCATGCGGATTTAGTGCCAAATAATATAATCTTTCTACTCTATATGTCACCCAAAGAAAAATAATTTCCCTCTAAATTGTGTTTGCAACTCTTGATATCTCAAATTGAATATTCAAGACTAAACTAAGTTTTCTATTAAGAGTTAAGCTAATCTGCTTCATCAGGACTGATTGACAGCGGTCCGGCACTCCAGCGATTTCAGTGTTGCACTTCCATAAAGTAAGGGGACTTGAGAGAGACAGATTATAAAAAAGAGGGGTGAAAATTGAAGCTCCAGAGGCTGAGATATTGTGTCCCTTTTGTGTGTGTGTGTGTGTGTGTGTGTGTGTGTGTGTGTGTCTTTGTCTATTAGTCCCCATATGGGTCAAGCTTCAAAAAACATTTCCCATGAGTCAACTTCACTGCATCTCTCATTAAAACGTTCCTGACTGGTAAATACCCACGTCTTTGACACTCCACAGCCCCAGTTGGTAACACATGTAACACAAGCAAACGCCCCCACAACTGTCAATTCAAACGTTGCTGAATCCTGATTGGTGCAAGGAAGTATATGACATATGTTTCCAAATGAGCCCCGCCCACTTTAAACAAGTGAGCGAAACAAAAACAAAAGAAACTGAAATCTCTTATGTAAATCGACCCAAAATATTCTAACTTTGACAGAAGATGTCGTCTTCATGCTGAACCCCATCGCCAAAAGGAAGAAGTAAAAAATATATTTTTAGGACCTTTATAGCACATTTCTCATTCATACATTCATACTGTATGTTCATTTTCAACTTACTTAAATGACTCAGATATGCGGAGAAGCCGGTATAGAAACGTAATCGCCTGCAGGCCCATGTGTGGGATTTTTTTGAGTCTTTGAATAATTTACGTGAACTATCTGCATATTTTTGCATTTTTAAATGTACCTTTGTGTTGATAAATATGTGGTGTATATTAACTCATATTATTTTCTTTACATTAGGTTTCTGACGTGTTTTTGTATTGTGAGAGTTCACTTTACAGGCAGCAAAAATATAACACATACTCTACGTCTTAACATGATGCCTTTATGATTTCCCTCCATCATTCACAGACTCATTGGCAGGAAGAAATATCTGACTTTTTGCCTGGATCTCTATTTCATTCTGCATCCCATTCCTCATCTCCCCCCTTCAGATATCTCTGCCTTAAGAGCTGCCTTTTATGATCACACTCGTATGTTGAACAGTCATCTACTGTAACTGTACATACTTTGTTTCTAACGGTTTGTTTGTATGTCAGGTGCGTGTTGCCTCGACGGTATCTCGAAGGTGAGACTGCTGCAGATCAGTGTCTCTGAGAGGGAAACTATCTAAGTACAGTGTGTTCAGGGGAGGAGTGGGAAGCCCACGCAAGAAACCTGACGGTGTGACAGCATCATGCATGTACTACGGTGTAGCTTGTACCCTCAGTCTGTATTACCTTTAAGCTGTAACTCCCCGCAGAGAGTGCAACAAATGATGACTGCGACAATAAACTATAATGCAATACCTGATCAAAGTATCTGCTTTGTGCTGTATTTAAACGTATGTCTTTCTCTTGGAATTTATTATTATTTCAAGTCATATTCTTATTTAATTTCATTCTTGTTTATACTATTCTTGCCTTTATTAATAATGCACTTAATGGATCACACTTCTCTGCATTTTTATTCACTTATTTACACCGTTTGATGCACATATTTGCACATATCTCTGATATTTTTCAAATCTTACTTTTATTTTTACTATTCACTTTTCTTCTCTACATATATTGCATTGTATATTATAGCCTTATGGACATAATTTACATTTCACTGAGTCATTTATTTAAAATGTTCTTGTGTTTCTTTATGCTTATAAGAGCAACTGTAATGTACTAATTCCCCGCCAGGGATCAATAAAGTGATTCGGATTCTGGAAAGGCTCCTTATGTCCCTCCAGGCAGGTCAGGATGATGATGGTGGGGGTCTTCCATCAGGGCTGGATCCAGATTGTCACAACCTAAGACCCAGGAGTGCTCAATCTACCAGGTACTGGAGACCTCTTCAGAGATGATGGGCTGTATGAACACTCGCGCCCTTTTGACCTGCGTTTCACTGAGATTGGTGAGATGTATAGTATGATATATTTCAAAGAAAAATATCATACTAAAAGGTAAACTAGAATAAAATTGTACCTTTGTGCATCACTGAACGCACAGGGAGTGAATGAACTCCAGCAACAGATGACCTCAACTGTGCGTTACAACACCCATACTTCCATACTAGTTAGTATGCCAGAAACAGATTTAGTAGAAATATGTCCCAATACATAATATGTCAAATGCACGTGGTCGCATTTTACAGTATGCGAGCCAACACACTTTTCTGGCTGGCGATGCTGACTTAACCAGTTTTTCTTACTGACCACGAGCAACGCCACTGGTTCCATGCGACTTCCTGTACAAACTGTTACAAAGTAAGACAGACATGTAATATTGTCATATTGACATTAACAACTTAAAGGTTACACTGTATTTAGGATCAAACATATCCTTGTCTGGTCTAGAAAGCGTTAGACGTGTTCATTAAATTGTAAATTGTTGTATATTTACAAGGAAAACCAATCAACTCATAAACATCAGCCTTGTGCGTGGGCGTGGCTTCACCTGCTCCTGAGCTCTGACAGCTGGCACACCTGAGTCTCATCAGCTGATCACCTGCTGCCGTCTTTCCTCCCAGTCCTCGCTAGATCCGATTGTTTCGTCCACCACTGTGGTAGCTGTGTTTCAGGCCTTGTACGTGTTTTTTTATTTCATTTTTTTGCAGTTCTGTATTTTCTTCTCTGAGTCTAAACTCCGCCTCCCAGCCTGATGTTCTGGGTTACCAGTCTCCTGTCTGCCTGCTCACTGTCAGCCCATCTGCTCTTTACCATCAATTCAACCAGCACCAGGAGCACAATCTCTCTTCAAAGTGCAGCCTTCATTTGTCATTAAACTGGCTGTTTTGTTGTGAAATGGATGTAATTGATCAAAACACATTGTTTGTTGTGTTTTATGAATGTGAGAATACAACTCTGAGATATTAATTACTAACAGAATAGCATCCACTGAAAAAAAGGGGACTAATTGTGATGGACAAAAAAAAAATCTAAACAAATTGAGAGGATTTCAGTAGAATTCCCATCAGTCAGACAGTCAGACTCAGTACTTCCTCAAACAAGTAACATAATCTAACTCCTTTACATGCATTAATTAACTTAATATACGTAAAAAAATCATGCATTGGTTTTGAACCAATGATGACGAAGTTTAAAAAGAAGTATTTCTGCCATGAATGGTTTCATATCTACACAGCCAAACCAAATGCTGACTTTGTCATGCTTTTTGTTAGGTTTGGTTATTGTTTATGTTTTGTTTCTGAGAGGCAGAATTCATTCTTTCGACGATTCATCACTTCATCATTTCAGCAGGTGAACAGCTTTGCACTTTTAAAAGTTCAAAAGTTCAAAAGTCAGGCACAGAATGAGAGATTTAGAGGTTTGGGGTCTGCTTATAAACGTAATGGTAAAAACGTAAATCTACTGTTACTATAACAACCACTTCTGTTAATTAAAACCTTCATTACCTTCTTTTGGTTTTTTTATTTTACACTAAATTGTGCAGTGAAATTAAGGTTAGTTTGATGATGATAATAATAATACCAGAAATGCTACTGTTTTGTTATGTTATTGCTCTTTCAATAAAGTTGCGAGAAAAAAACGCATGTTACCATAGCTACGTGTAAACTGTCAAACTGTTGTAGAAAATAGTGCCGATTGTTTTAAAGGTTCACGTATTATTCAGACAGAGAGAGCTAAAGTAAGTGACTGCTACAGTAAACATGAAAGTTAGCATAACGCTACGGTGAACTATTGAGAAGCTTCACCGGACACCATTGTAAATATGTCTTCGTTTGATTTGCGTTGTGAAAAATAACGGTCCTATTTAGCGTATTTTGGAAGAGTTTGCATATTAATGAGCTATTGAAACATCATATTTCACTAGTTTTGGGATAGCATCATGCTAGCACCAACTTGAAAGGGTTTATCTAACGTTAGCTAACTTACCTTGCTCATCATTAACCATACACGTCTGTGCGAAACTCGTTCGTAAACCGTCATATAACAAAATATCTGTATCTCCACAGGATGTCTTTATCCAGGATTCAGAGTCTGGGACTGGCAGCTGTACTGGAGGACTGTTCAGTCCAGCTGGACATACTGGGACTTAGACTGGCAGTGCAGACTGACAGGGAGCAAGGCCCTGCAGCAGCACAGGTGACAATTCACTGTGTTCATCCCACAGGCCAGGCCAGAGGAACATCTGTCAAACAGCTGCCGGCTGCTGTGATCAGACTATGATGATGATGATGTGAATGTGTTCATGCTCGGTTATTCTCCATTTTACGGTCTTACTGGACAAATGTATTGACTAAAACAACTGTGTCTGTGTGTGTGTGTGTGTCTGTGTGTGTGAGTGTGAGTGTGTGTGTGTGTGTGTGTTTAGGAGAAGGCCCGACTGACCAAGCTGAGGAGAGACTGGTGGGTAGTACAGACAAACATCATGTTGCTAATCATTGTTTTTCTGACTGAGTGTCTGTGTCTCTCTCGGCAGTCAGTACGTCTCTCAGCAGGTGTTCAAGCTGCACTCTGAGCTGGAGGAGAAGCAGAGCATCAGTTCTCTGCTGCAGGTGGTGGAGGAAGAGGAGCAGAAGAAGAAGGCTGAGGACATGAGAAGGTTCATCAGTGCATCATTTGGAAGCAATATTTTTACTAATCTTAATCATTAATAAGAGTCATTTTGTAGACATGATGTCGTGGGACTTTTGAGAGCAAACGAGTGTTATGAAAGAAAGGGTGGAAGAAGGCGGAAAGACAAAAGGAAGCCTGTGTAGCATCAGTAACATGAGCGTCTCTCCAACCCAGAGAGGCAGTGGCAGAGCAGAAGCAAAGACGTCAAACTCTAGACAGACAGAAAGACAAGCTCCGGCAGAAAACTGAGACACTGGAGGTGAGAAAGTAAGAGTACATTCAAAAATCCATAACTGTCTGCATGAAGGGCTGTTAAAGGTGAGCAGGAATCTGTTCATTGGAATCCTCTATTTGAAGACAAATTGAAATATGTTTGTCTGTAAACACCTCCGCCTCCAATACTACTGCCCCCAGGACATACACCGGCAGACCAGATTGGTGAACTTTCAGGTGATGGAGCAGTCAGACAGGATGGCCCGCAAGAAGAAGCTTGAGGAGGCAAGCATAGCGCTGCAGCTCAAGGAAGTGCAAAGGACAAACAGCCACACTGAGGAGCAGCTGGAGGAGCAGCGCAAGGTGGGTCCATCAGTCCATCTGTTCTAATCCTATCTGGGATAGTCCCACCCAAATAGCAACCAAGCCCCGAGAAGGAGATGTTTTCAAATTGATCCTCCATCAGGGGTGCAGACATGACCTCCGCCGCGCTCTCTCTGCCCTTTCCGTCCAAAACCGGTGAACACGTACCTCTGTCAGCATGCTGAGCAGTGTTTTTACATTTTTCCTTCCAAATCTACAGACTCCCCAGTTAAATGTTGTCTAGATTAACGTTATCACCTTCTCTCTCAGAAGGTGCAGCTACAGCTGATGGAGGAGAGGAAAGTTCACGAAAAGTCCAAGACATTCTTGAAAAATCGTCACACGGTTGGTACAGCGACATCACAACTAACAGCAGACTAATGTTACAATTATTGTCTAGTTGCTGCTTTTGGAGGCTCATTAACTTATCTGCGGTTTAAGGTTCAAGATGAGTTTAAACGCCTAAATGCAAATGCTGTGTTCTCAGAAGCTATGGTTTAAACTGCACCTGTTGTTTAGTCTAAAACTCAGTTGCTGTCCTTAATGAAATCACCTTAATGTGACTAGAGGTCACTGTACCTGAGATTGATCTTAACCTGTGGCACACCAGGGTCTGCATATTCAACTGCTAAAACTGTGAAAGTTTGGACTTGGGTGATAGATAAAAGTAAAAGTCCTTCCATTTTACCCGTATTTGTGAACTTCAGAATAAAAGCCACTTATCAAATCTTACAACTGAAAAAAATCCTAGTAAGTATAAAGGGAGATTTCTACCGATCAACTGATATGAACTAAAACTAATTCAATAATTAAACTTAAAAGGTGTCCCATCTGCCAGAGCAATCAGTTTAACTCAGGACACAGCTCTGTGTTAAACCCTTCTTCATAATAACAGTGGCATTATGTGAATAAACTGGCATTTAAAGGGTTAACATTATGGAAACGAATGGAGTGAAAGTGGAAAATTATATTAAATATATAATTTTGTGTCAGTTTTTTAGACGCAGACATTTTTGTCCTCTTAAGAGCAAATGTTGTGACGGGTACACATGGGGTCAAGTTGTTGCTCGTGTTTCGCAACAGCACCTAAACTTCCGTACGCGGTACCGTCATTGAAACCGGTTGTTTCAGGAGTTGCAGCAGCAGCTGCAGCAGTGGCGGCAGCGCACGACGCAGATGCAGCAGGAGAAGGAGCAGCAGCTCAACAGCGTGTGCTGCAAGAGGACGGTGAACTTGGACAGGCTGACGGAGATGAGGAGGAAGGTGAGCGTCTTCTCCTGGTGCTGAGCGTGAAGCAGTGAACAACTGCATTCGCCACGTTCGCTGTCACACGGACATTAATGAGCTGCTGGATTGTGTTCACAGTTCAAGGAGATGGAGCTGGTGGTGATGGATGACAAGGAGGAGCAGAAGAAGCTGCGTCAACAGCAGGCGGAGGCCAGAGCTGCTACCAAGGTAACGACATCCAATCAGAAGTTACCGTCAGATCAATCGCTCTGGTTATTTAGTGTACTGATCCCTAATTCTGACCCTGGCCTGTGTGACCTTGTGACCCGGCAGCTGCAGGCGTGGTGGAGAGGCTGCAAGGTCCGCCGAGGACTCGGGAGTTTCAAAAAAGCAGATGACAAGAAAGGCAAGAAGAAGAACAAGAAGAAGAAGGGAGGAAAAAATAATAAGAAATGAGTTTTCTCCAACAGTCCTTTGAGATATAAAAGTAATAATTTATTGCTATAAATAAATATTTATAGTAGCACCTTGATTCAAAGTCCTCTTATTCCATATTTTATGTACAACATGAATGCAAGAAATCATAATGACTTCCGGCAATCGACACTACTAGGTAGTCTACTGTTATTGACCACGGGCCATACATTGAAACACACGTTAACACCTGTATCATGACATGATAAGGACACACAGTTGAACACTGAATCACACAATATAAAATTCCCGAGCAGATAAAAACTAATTCTACAGACGGCCGTCTTTCCTAACAGAGTACATCAGTCAGCGTATCATGGCGATCACAGAGAGGTGAATCATCAAAAAGTCACATCCATGTAGGAAACGAATGTGGTCAAATTTCTCCCAGCTTTATGTTCCCACATCTGACAGAGGAGCAGAAGACCCGGCGTTGCAAAACAGGAAACACCACCACTGAAGAGCATCATATCAGGATGAGCTTCGGGGGAGCTGACGCTTGCTTGTCCGTCCGTGCTGAAGCTCTTACAACACTTGGCGAGCTGTGATGAACTATGATGTGTTTTTAAAATCAGTACTCACAACTGTCAGGGCCAAGTTTCAAGATCAAGGCCAGAGTGAAGAAAACAAAAAGTCCTGTTACACCATAGCTGTGGTGTCAGTCAAAATGTACACAAGCAATGTGAATATTTGGTGGATTTTTTTTATATTATACATTATTATTTTGTAAATAATATTCACCTGAATATTATTGGGTTTTGTGCAGTTGATCGCATAAAACATGCCGTTTGAATATGTCAAATCTGGCTCTGGGAAATTGTAATTTTTTTTTTTACTATTCTGACATTTCATAAACCAAACAATGAATCAGTTACCAAGAAAACACTGTACAGGTTATTAATAAATATTAATTAAATTCATTGTTAGATGTGGCCCTAAAAAAATGATGCTACAGGAGTAGCAGAGCCAGAATATCGAGTCTATAGCCGACGGTTTCCACACCCGTAACAATAACATACCTGAGTCAAAGCAGAGCAAAAAAAAGTTGTCTGGAGACTGAAAACTCATTCTGAGTTCAAGTTGTAATCCTTGCTAGCGTGTAGTGTGTGTGTGTGTGTGAGTGTGTGTGTGCGTCCGCTCCGTGGGGCCAAAGCTTCACACTTGCAGCTCCTCTGTCTCGGTCGAGTGGGTCTGCTCGGCGTGCATGTAGTTTTTGTCTCCGATGATGACATAGTTGAGATGGGAGCTGTGGATGTTGATGCTCGGGGAGTCGGCTGATGGAATTGGAGGACAGAGAGGAGGAGGAGGAGGAGGAGGAGGAGAAGTCTGTGCTGCTCCCTGCTGTCCACAGCTGCAGCTGCACCTCCCTTGATTTGAAACACACAAACAAATTAGTTGTTTTCACCTCTCATGAGGGCAGTCTGAGTGCTGTGATATGTAAAAATGTCAAAATATGCACATCAGACAACATAGCATAGTATGAATTTCAGCCCGAAGTGCTTTCAATTCCAAGGAAATTAAATAATAACAATAGGAATATTAAAAGAGGTTACCCACCCTGCATTTGGAGCTCAGATTCCCGCATTAGAGGCTGACTCTCAGCCACAGCGGTTGGGTAGGTGTTGTTCCCGATGACGCAGTCGATCAAGGTGGAGTTGCTGATGTTCACAATCAAAATGGTAGACGGCGGATTCTGGAGGGCCACTGTATTTTACGAGTGGGCGACGGAGAGAAAGGGGAAGAGAATATGAGGAACGGGAAGCTGTAGTTCCAGAGTGATGACACAGGTCCCTATGGTTCCTGAATACATTGGACAACGCTTGCTTTGCAGGAAAGCCACAACAACAAAAATTGTCAGGGTTCATTTAAGTTTGTAACTGTTTCTGCATAAAGAGATGGAAAAAAGCACCTGAATGTTTCAAGAATTATAAGGTCTGTTTGTCACATGCAATGCAGCTAGTGTAAAAAATAAGAATAAGAAAAGAGAATTTTTCCTTCAATTATAAAAAAAATAAATAAAAATATGACCAGCAAAGGATTAAACAAATAGATACAGTGAACTAAAATACCCTGAATGTTTTATTGTAAATAAATAAATAGCATAAAATGAAGAGCTTACCTTGTGTAGTTTTATCCTCTTCAGGTTGATGACAACATGTGACCTTCTCACACAGCAGAGCGCTCATGGGGCAGCAGAACAGCTGGCGGGCTCTGCTGCAGCTCTTCTGCGCCACCTGGATGATGCCCTGCATGATGCGCTGCATGTTGGAGGTTTTGCAACTCATCATCTAGATGAGAGAGGCAGACAGAAATCCCCCTTAGCTTCGTGCATTACAACAGCTCACACCGCTGGCCCACCTGCGCTTTTTTTCGAGGTCACGTGCACTCAGGCTGGGCTTTTTATTTTTTTTTCTTCTCCGTACTGCAACAAACAATATGCGAAAATGGGGGGGGGGGGGGGGGGGGGGGGGAACCCCGCCTTTT